GCTCGGCACGGTGTCCGACGTTTTCGGTGCACGTGTTAGGAGTCCTTCTCTTCGGGAATGAGAATGAAGCGGCTCGCTCTCTCTCTCTCTCTCCCTTGATCGCATCGCGTTGTCGGTTGCTGTCGGTTGTTGTCGGTTGTTGTGGGTTCTTGTGCGTTCATTGGCTGAGTCCTCTCTGTTCGTCAGCCAGGTCACGTTTTTGCTTTATCTGGGAAGAAACCGGGAGCAGCCAGAGAGAGCTCATCATTTGGGTGGGTGGAACGGGGGGGGGGGAATCCAGAGATTACAATGAGTACCCCAAAGTAACGCCTCCTGCTTTCCCCCGTAACTTGTTTGGTTTTATTATGAAATGTTACACGCACAATTATTGGACACGATCAAGAAAAACATTTTCTTCTTCTTTCGTACGACACGACTGATGTAGATGCAGAGCGACAATTACATTTCCACATGCAGGTGGTCAAGCCACGTGACCACGTCAGAAGTAGTGAGCTGAGAATACCGCCACGATGTCTCCGTCGTATTTCTGGATCGGGCATTGAGTCGTTAAGTGTTGTATGACGAAGCAATTGAAAGTCCGTGTTCGCAACATGTATCACGACATTCATTCTGAAGCCTGTGAAAATCCGAGGCCATGGCATTGGACTGCGCTGTCCGAACCACGGTACGAACCCAGGGCCTCCACTCCCACAATTCAATCTCTTCACGCTCCTTCAAGGATGGCTACGTAGGCAACATTTTGTAAATGACCCCACTTTGTGCAGGCAGGGTTCCGTTTGCTAATGGCTGCGTGACATTCGATTGGTCTTTTTACCGTGATGGAGCGTTGGCCCAGGTTCCCCGTTGGCGCAAGTGAATAAAAAAAAGGATGGAGACGGTGTTGATGAACAGCCAAGCGCTTGTGACATTCCCCATGAATGAATAGCAAAACTCTCCTGTCGTTTCAATACGAACAAAAAGTAATCCCGAAAAAAAATAGGCAATGCGTTTTTTTTGTCCTTTACTCGCCGTGTTGAGTTGTCATTCTAAAATGTTTCTTTTTTGCACGCTTTCCTTTAACTCACTGTCTCTTGTAGTTGTTGTTGTTGTATCCTCAAATCTTGTAACTAAATTTTAACCCACTTCCAATGTGGTATCGACTGCAAACTTGGTATAATTATGTCATACTGATAACAATACTATATTCTATCATAAAAATAAAAAAACATATATTTTTAAACATTATTTTTTCTATGTTATGTTTCGGCTTGGGTCTAATTGTCCACGGTCAACTGTCGTTGGCTGTAAATGACCACGGTCCCCTTACGTTATGGCAAGCTTCGGGGCCACTTCCTGGGGTCGTGGAGTTCTGCCATTACTAGTACATTTTATAAAAGCGTGTTTTACAAAAAATATATATTACTTATTTAGCTAAAAATCACCTCTGGATGTGAGTCCAAGAATGAAAGAAAACAGGGAGGAGAGAGTTGTGAGGGTTCTCTCTTTGGCTGAGCTGGCACAAGACCGCAACCTTGTTTATAAACCCGGTCACTCATGTGCGCTACCACTCGGTCACGCACCACGAGGTTAGCTGGACGAAAGAGGCGCGGTGACACGAGATCGGAGAACAATGCCTGAAATTAAAACATTGGTGGATATATATGTAGAAACAAAAGCCACCTGAAGAACTTTTTTGGGGGCAGAAGACCCGTGGGAAGAAAACAAATAAACCACTTTTGCAGCTGTTTTCTGACGCAATGGTTGGCAAAAGCTCTGTGACATATCCGAAAGGATTTCTTCATCTCAAGAGCACGATGCTGATAGCATAATTGGAATTAATTGGGGGGAAACGACAATACCTCATTATTATTGCACATCGTGAACTACAAATCAAAAATAACCGACATTTGTTAGAGATAGGTTCGGCACAAAAGCCAGCTTTGTGGCATTATTTGCATCTCCTTCACTTGTACATAATCTCAAGGCTGAGCTGGAAATATCGTGGTTCGTTTTGAATGGGAGATTAGCAGATAAAATCCCCTCGGTGACAACAGAGATTGACCTCGCCGCAAGTTTGGCCGTATGCAAAATTCCGGTGCGCGTTAGGGGGGGGGGGGGAAGCGGTTGTGATTCCGATTCAGTTCCCCCTGGATTTTCAGACCGATTTATCACACCGGAAGGGCAAGGGATTTGCGGTGGAGAAATACAAATCAGCTGATTTGATTCGGGATGCAGCCCTCCCGCTTGCACGGACAACGATGATATTCCTGGAATGTGAAACGCGCATTTGCAGCTGGGGGTCTGTGCCTGGCGGAGTGGTGGGCTCAAGGTCACTAGGCCACGATTTTAAATCCTGGCCAGGGTCAATGCAGACCAGGGATGAATTTTAAACATGAAAATGTAGGCCTTCAGATTTTCACAATTTTTAATGACAACTCCAGATCTCATGTTTTTCCCTTCAGATTGTCCGATAATTTATAGGATGCAATATATGTATTCGTGCTAACAGTGACATAACCCGACGCCATGTAATACGTGATGCGATTTCCCGTGACGTCGTACTTTCAGATCAATGCGAAACGCGAGCATTTTCGGGTCATCCGAAATGTTATTTCTCGACCAGATTTTCACACTTTCTGACCACATTTCAAGATTATGTGCATCATATTCTTTCGTATGGCGTTTGACAAAAAATCAGCAGGCTACAATTTTGCGTTTAATTGTGTAAGCCATTCCACAGCTTTTGTCTTTCACGAACTACTTCCTCCCCCGTTTCAGTGTTTACTTGTTAAACAGAAGCCAGTTACCCAGCTGGCTTCCGTGCCAATGACCCACGGCCACTAACAGGAGTTATTGTTGGGGTGGAGAGGAGCCCAGCCAGCAGCCAGCCAGGAAACTGGAGGCAGAGATTATGTTTTAATTGTGGTAAGATTTCTAGCCCGTATGCATTTCCCTGTTAACTCTGCGGGTTTCTTCATCATTTAGAGAAAGCGTTGGATTTTAACGTGCTCCGTTTCACCACGTTCAAATGTGGTGGAATTTGGACGCCGTATGAATCCGCATTGTTATTGTTCGTAGTGGTCGTGAAGCAAGACCTCAGCACCGCAGCGTGCGGTGAGAGGGCCTTGCAGTGAATATCTTTCCCTTGCGCACCCTGCACCGCCTCCGCGCCTCCATCAAAAATAAAAATAAACGAGGGCACATTTTCTGGAGCGCAGCGACCACGCCGAAAGGGCGCGCACCTTTTACCAATCGTCGAATGGGAAGTGCGAAAACGCATGCGCTCACGATATTCGGCACTCGGCTGAGAACGCGTCCACGGGCCCCCTTTTTTTCGCGAGCAGCGCTCGTGCCGGTCCTGAGACGCGTTCGCCATTGTTGTTTGCGAAGCGTCGGGCGTATTTGTGAGTCGGCGTGTTCTCGCTTCTCTCCGCCGCTCTCGTCGACGTACGATGGCTTACTTTGCGGAACCTTGCATGCCAATTTGGCTGTTATTTTGTGCGTGGAGGAGGTGGCCGGGCGTGGGCTTGGGGAGCGGGGGGGGGGTGGTGGGTGGTGGGTGGTGGGTGGGGGGGGGGAATGGTCCAATGCAAAAATGTCACCGATCTATTTGTGCAAAGACTCCAATGTCGAACATAAATGCGAGAAACAAAAAAAAAACCCTTTGCCTATCATGTAGCTCTCGGCAGCCCTGACCTATATGTGTCAGTGGCAGCTCAAGCCCAGGGCTATCCTGTGGCAGATCAACGCTGAAATGCAGCGAAATTGGACAATTAAAACCGAAACGTGGGAGGGATGACAGCACTGGCCGTTATCGTTTGTAATTTTCTACGAGTCTCCGCTGTGTTTATGGTACGACTCTGCTCAGTGTGTGCTAGGCGCCCACGCACGCACGCACACGTGTGTTTATGCGGGTGCGTCAGCGGGGAGCGGTGGCGTCGTGGTTAGCGCAACTGCGCTACGAAGCCGGCGACCCTAGTTTGATTCCCGTTCATGGCCAACAACGGTGACGAGTATCTGAACCGGTCCTGGGGGCCTCCTCCCCTATGTCGACTCAGCCTCACATGAGTACCTGGTGTGGTGTGTAAATATCGCCGCCACTGGGGAGACAAAGGCGGCCAGGTGTGGTGCTGGCCACCCACCCCCTCGCGTGCCGTTCCGGCCTTCATAGGTGCTCGCTAACAACATTTTCCCCCCACAGTCTGTTAAGGCTATATAGGAGATCTTTGTCTTTGTGTGTGTATGTATGCATGCACGCATGCCTCTGCTCGTACTGAACTGACCACATTGGGTCTCAATGGTCAAACATGGTCTCATTTGCGCCAAAACAAATGCCAGAAGGAAACAGGTCAACGCCCCTGGAATAGTGGACCTCAGACCTTCGTGGAGTGCGCTACGAACCCGGTAACCCGAGTTCGCTTCGCGCTCACGCCGAACACCATTGACGAATATCTGGACCGGTCCTGGGCCCTGCCTAGGTCGACTCAGCCTTGAATTTAGTACCAGGTACGGTGCGTGATCATCAACACTGGGGAGACAAATGCAGCCAGGTATGGTGATTGGCATGGTCCTGGCCGCACCACCCCGTCACGTATTGTGTTGGCCTTCATAGGTTTTAGCTAACAGTACTTGCCCCAACATCCTCTAGAGGATACATAAGGGGTCCCTGTCTTTGTATGTGCGTAGCACCTGCACGACGATTCGTGCAATTTTCCACAAGGCTGTGTTCGATTCCAAGGCATGGACAAACATTACTGGCAAGTGATATCTGAATGCTGTGTGCTCCGCACCTCCCCTTGGTTGACTCAGCCTTAAATGGGTACCTACTGCAGCATTGGAAACATCAGCACTAGAGAGACAAAGGTGGTCGCGTTTGGCATTGGCCCCACCACCACTCTCATATGCCCTTGCTGGCCTGAGAAGGCACATGCGAACGGCACTTTTCGTCCGTTTTCTGGAGGGCTAACCGGAAGATCCGTGTGTATGTGTCTCTCTGCGTCTTTGTCTTTGTACGTTGACAGCAAATTGCCGAGCTGGGCCCAGGCGGTTGTGCCCAGGATATTCTACGTGACGGAGAAGGCATGGAACTACTACCCGTACACCATCACAGGTCAGTGCCCGCTGTCATCTTGCACACCACTGTTCGAAACATCATCTTCACCATGGCACGTGGTCAATCCGCTGCTGGGTCAAGGCCTCCCCAAAGCCATCACCGTCCTCCCACGGTCCTATGATGCAAAAGTGTAGCTAGCACCTGCACAAGAACTGATTTCGTTGCTCCATCTCTCTCCTTTTGTGGACATCCTTTCGGACGCGTTCCCTTCCTTGGCTGTCATTATTGGTGATCATCAGCCATTGTCGCGATGTGTCCTGCCTAAACCCTCTTCCTTTTAAATCCGTGTTCACCTCCATACGTTCTCTAATCCACACACCTCTTTCTTTATTTCTCTCGCTTTAATTCTGAGTATGCATCTCTGCACGCTTCCTTGTACACCTGTTTAGCGTTTGTCCCATTGTATTCATGAGCGGCCACAAACGTAGCGGACGCCACGATGAATAAAAACCTTTCAAATCCATGGGGCACATTGCTAAGTTACTTTTCACGATACTTTCATTATCATGCTAAAAGCCGGATTCCAGTGAGATGTTCCGCAATATTAACGCGGATTCGGTGCCTAAATAAGATTACGTCTGTTCAACATTTATTTTTTGCCAAGAATACTTTCCTAAAAATAAATTGGGGATGTTCTTTTTTTTAAGCGTTCGGGAAAAAAAAGGTGGGGGGGGGGGGGGGGGGGGGGTCTCGCGCGGGGGGTGTGGGGGACGGTCATTGTTGGCTGCTCGAGTTAATGCAAGGATAACAGCTGTCAATGCATGTGTAGGCCATGTGACAGCATTGACAATCCGATTGCTGATGCTGTTATTTAGTCATTACAGTAGAGCACCATCTTCACTGAGTACCCCTGTGAAGGACTAGTCGCTTCACGACGGGGCCTCTATAGAGCCCGATGTGGAGTGTGTAGTGTAGTGTATAGTGGTGTGGTGTATAGTAGTGTAGTGTATAGTAGTGTAGTGTATAGTAGTGTAGCGTATATTGTAGTGAAAAGTAGTGTACTGTATAGTGCAGTATATAGTAATGTAGTGTATAGTAGTGTATTGTAGTGTAGTATATAGTAGTGTACTCTATAGTAGCGTAGCGTATATTGTAGTGAAAAGTAGGGCACTGTATAGTAGTGTAGTGTATAGTACTGTAGAGTAGAACCCCTCTTAACGACTACCCCTGTGAACGACTAATTGATTAACAACGGGCCTCCATAGAGCCCAATGTGTAGTGTATAGTGCAGTGTATAGTAGTGTATAGTGTAGTGTATAGTAGTGTATAGTGTAATGTATAGTAGTGTAGTGTATAGTAGTGTATAGTATTGTATAGTGTAGTGTATAGTGTAGTGTATAGTAGTATGTAGTGTAGTGTATAGTGTAGTGTATAGTGTAGTGTATAGTAGTGTAGTGCCTCCATAGAGCCCAATGTGTAGTGTATAGTGTAGTGTATAGTAGTGTACAGTAGTGTAGTATATAGTGTAGTGTATAGTAGTGTACTGTAGTGCCTCCATAGAGCCCAATGTGTCTGCTTACCGACCATTCTCCTGTTAACGACAGGCTGTTGTAGATATAGTAAATATGAATGAATGCATTAATTAACCATGTTTCTTTTAATAGTATGTGTTTATAATAGTTTTAGTATATTTATGTTTTAATACCCATTGTAATTTTTTTATATATATGTAAAGTACCCTTTTTGGATGAAAAAACGTGTGATGCTATCGGAACGAATTTAAGCCTTAAACATCTATTTCCTATATTTGCTTAACGACCGAAATCATTTAATGACCAGTTTCGTGGAACCAATTACCGTCGTTAAGAGGGGTTCTACCTCTATTTGCTGCTGCTGCTGCATTGGCAGTGGTGCACAAGCAAAATGAGCAAAACAAACGCAACACATTGTTCAACAACACTGCGGCCTTGAACGAGAAAACTAAAATAGACATGGTGGTGGCTATGCAGCCGTGTAATTCCAGCACTGTGGAGGCAGCGAGGGTTGGTAGATCACCGCACAAATGGTGTTGTGAAAAAACTCCCTTCTCGTGGGTGTCGAGGAGGTGCCATACTCTGGCATGCCAGGAGAAGGCAGCACAGCAAATAGGTGGTCTACATTTGTTCCATCTGTGTGAGATGGCGTGTATGCACCCTCGTATGCATGCATTTTCTCTTGACTGCTCTGGTTTCCCTCCAATATGTAAACACTCATCAATTAGCCAATAACTCCTTTCGTATGAGAGGACCACAGAGCTTGGAGGGGAGGGAATTTTACCCCTGCCCACCGCATGGCTCACTTTCCCACTTGTCCCTGCACCTCTGAGTTGTTCTCTATCTTTGAGACTGAGCGAATGCTTTGCAGCGGCGTCTTACAAGTTCAAATCATCATTATTATTGTGGAAGACCAAAAATGGCAATTGGCTATATATATCGTACGCATTTACATTTTTACTGATTGGCTGACCTGATAATATTGTGGAGGGGTGGGGGGGGAGGGAGCGGACTAAATGTTTGGCTGCTTCATCCAACTAAGACAAAGAGAACCGCCAGATTAACTCCTCAGACTGAGGCTCGACTAGAATTCCACGGGGTCGTCATCAACTAGACCAGGGGTCGCCAACCAAAATAACTGTAAAAATAACCTCAATGTTTCAAGAGCCGCAATGCATGTGATGAATACGGGAGACGGTGGGGCCTTGATAAATATCTGTCGCGAGGCGGTTCCTCAGCAAGCTCCGGAGCCACAGCTTGCCGACCCCTGAACTAGGCCGAGACCATGATTGTCTACGGTCGCTTTCGTCCCATTCCACTGTTGCTTTAGATCCCCCCCACCCGCCCCGCATTCAAAATTGAGACGATTGCCTTCGCCCCCATTGCAGAAGCATTGCTCTAATCGTAATCGTGACCACACTTCGGCCCCTGTGGCTGATGAAAGGGGCTGCCGGTATCGATAACGTATTGATTCAATAATAATGTAGTGCATGGCCGGGGCACGCTTCAGTAATGGAAAAGCAATATCCAGGTTTTGTGAAAATTTGGCCAGGTCAGGGATGAGGTTGACCTTGCGTGGGATTTCAGACGGCGCTACATGGATCAGCGGCGTTGCTATTTTTATTTCTGCAGAAGCTCGCCGCTGAATGCCGAATGACTGTAATGTAGGCAAGAGCCTGAATTTAAAATGTTACATTAAATGTATTACATGTAATGCCACACTGTCAGAAACCAATTTGTTTTGGCTTAGGGATAATAAACGAATGAATATTGTATTATGCATCAGGGTACTTTAATTATTTTGAAATATGAAATTAAGAAAGCGGCTACATGCAATTGCTCTGTAAGAAAATTTAGAATGAATAAATTGGCTTTTGCTAATGGTGCAACAATGTTTGGATTTTTCATTGCGGCAACATCGCGTGCGCTGAGAGTGAAATGAAAATAGAAGAAAAGAAGAGGCAAACAATATAGCAATTCAACTTTAGTCGGAATTTATTCGGACATGCGCACAAACATTTGATGACTATTCCCAGTTATCAAGCGACTGAGAAATCATATTTAACCCCATCCCCCCGCACCCCGTGCCCCCTCTGCTCGGCAAAATCATGTTCGTGCTAGATTCAGTTTCCGAGAATACAAATTGGGTGACAGCTCGAGAAAGGTCGGGGGGGGGGGGGGGGGGGGGGGGGGGGGCTGTGGCAGGTTTCTGGGAGGGCAAACTGTTCTAATTCTTGATTACAGAGTCATGACGGAACACATTTTCAAAGGCACGGAGAGAAAGCCGGAGGAAACAAGTCTAAAGCTAGTGTCCCTGCGTTTAAATTCAGCGTCCGTTGCAACGCTGCAAACGTGCAGATACAATTCCATTCTTATGGTTAGCGACTTGTCTCTCCATAGGACAGGGTTTCTCCAAATCACATTCCTTGTGACCCACCACGCTACAGACCTCCGTTCAAACACAAATTGAGTTGTTACATGCTGCACGTGGCTAATGCTTGCCAAGCACGTCACGTAATGTGGAGATACCAAATTCAAATGAAGACGGAAAGGTCTTCGGTGTGTATGTGTGTGTCTGTGTGTGCGGTCGTGTAGCGGTTAGCGCTACGCTGCGCTACGAATGCGGGGACCCGAGTTCGATTCCCGCTCACGGCCAACACCAGTGGCGATTATCTGAACCCGTCCTGGGCCTCCCCAAGGTCGACTCAGCCTCAAATGAGTACCTGGTGTGGTGTGTAAACATTGCCACTAGGGGGGACAAAAGCGGCCGAGTGTGGTGCTGGCCTTCATAGGTGCTCGCCAAAAGCACTTGTCCTAACAGTCTGTTGAGGCTATACGGGGGATATTTGTAATTGTTGCGTGGGCTGATTCAAATGAATTACTGCTCTGTGCATCATGTGGAACATGCTTAGCAATCATGTGGAAAGCACAGGATGCAATGACTTAATTTGTATTTAAAAGGAGAATGGGTAGGCTCAGAAATACATAACTCTACCAAACATGAGTCAGTGGGTCTACTGCCAGCCATTCCAAATCTCTATCATTCCACCTGTACAGGTGAGCAACGGAGACTGTGAAACCCGAGTGGTAAGTCTCCTCAAGCCTTAGCGATCAGCCACTGCTCGTAGACATTCCACTCGTAGGCTTCCGGCAGCAAGTTGAGCGCTCGCGGGGAAACGGTGAGCAATTGTGTTGAGTCCATGGTTTGTCTTCAGAATGACGAGATACGGGCTTGGGCGTGTTCAATCAGTTGAGCGCTTCAAAGACAATACTCTTTGGTTCTTTCGGTAAAGTCACGTAGGTAGAAATAAAATAAAATCAAGCACGACGTTTTGGGCACAACACAACCACAGCAAAGAAAGAATTGCTGAAGTGGGGTTGTTTCTTGCTGTGGTTGTCCCACCCGATGACGGACGCTTGTGTTGCGCCCGAAAACGTCGTGATTTATTTTATTTTATGTTTACCTACGTCACTTTACCGAAAGAACCAAAGAGTTTGGAATCCTGCAGTCACGAAAACTTCAAATCAAGATCAAAGGCAATAGTTTAAAGATTTAATTGTGTTTGGTTTAACCGGTTGAGTTCTCAAAGGGGCAAGGATGACGTCTCATTTGCAAGAGTGGGATAGCAAAATCGCAACAACAAGAAGGATGAGATCAAGAGAAGAGCAACAAAGCGAATATATCAACTTTTCGTCCCGTTTATTATGCAGCTCTAAACATCGCCGCGAGTTCACACTTCGCGAGCAACTTTTGCAAGAGTGAATATTCGTTTTCAGCCTGAATTTGATAAATGTAGTGACAAATGCGTTTCGTATTTAACTTTACCTCAACGTCTATCGAATTACAATGACAACGTTGCTTTGGCGAGTTCTTATATTACAGCCACCTGCGAGGAAAATGTTCCATTAGACCATATCAGCAAATGAAAATATAATTTCCGCATGTGATGGTGGAGGAGATAGAGTTATGAAATCAGCTCGTGTGCAGCTGCTAGATGGATTGTGTGACATCGCTGGATTATGGGGGGTGGTTGTGGATTGCGTAGGCCTTCTATCCAGCAGTGGATTGACCTTGGCTGGCTGATGATGTGTTGGTGGGGGGGGAAGGATGGGTACAGTTTACGAATGTATTTAGTGAAGGAAAAAAATTACAACATATCAGCATTGATAATCCATTATGCAGGTGTTTTTTAGTTTGATCGCGTAAATATATGAATATGTCGTTAAACCCGCCACTACCCGGCACAGCCAACCAGTAAGGGTTGTCACGTAAACAGAACGTGGCCAATTCGTGACTAGTACAGCACACCGGTGTGTTAGAGAGCCAATCCACTACATTTACAATCCGAGTTCGACGTTTCGCCAGCAATTACAACTAGCTTCATCAGGCGACGGCCAGATTCGTGGAGAAGTCCAACTGCTTCGTTCCTTATAGAGGCGTAGATGTGGTGACCATCCTTCTGCACTCTTGCGCAAAGTAGGCGGGGGGGATTAATGAGTCAACGTTCATTATGCATGCGCATTATGCGAGCCCTTGATCTTATCATCGTTGAATAAATGCGAAATCCTTATTTGGCCACTTGGTGGAAGGGTTAATATTTCGAACACAATTATTTTACGGCGCGTACAATTATTACGTACGTATGTTGAACTTCTTTCGCACCGTACGTAGCCAACCGTGCTCATCGGGGGTGCGAGGGGGGGGATGACAACAAACTGTGTGTACGGTAAGTCAGCTTGTGTAATTTAATTCCAATCTCTTTGCCGTGTTATCGGAGCTCTCCCAGGTATCCGCCGATAGGCATCACTCCATTCCCGTATGCACGCGCGTCTACTTGCTGCTGCGTTCACACACCTCCCCGTGTCATTTTGACATGTTTACCTTCTTTGCTGTTCGTTTGAAGCAACAATAAAATGGCCTCAACACAACAATATAACGTTTTCATTCATCGAGCGCTATTAAGAGGCTAGAGAGGTTAAACAAATGCAATTATATCGGAGCTGGCTGCGGTGTATATAACGCTGTGAATTGATTGCACGTTCATAATTAATAATTGCAATTTCTCTTTGTCGTTTCATGCCGTGCTTGTTCTCGGATGTCCTTCGTGTTCAAACCTGCCGCTGGTGCTGCCTGCTGGTGGAAACAACAGAGTACACGGTAAGTAGTCGCGGAGTTCTTGTGCCCAAAAGAGCCATGGGGGTTCGTGGGGTATCACCTGGCGGTGGCAAATGCCACTTGCGTCCACCACGAGTAGCGTCCACCACGGGGCATGAAACGTCACGTGGGTGCGGTCTGTTTTATATTGACGCTCATGGTTATATAGTTTCATATTCCGTACCCATACTCTTTGGTTCTTTCGGTAAAGTCACGTAGTTAGAAATACAATCAAATAAAACAAATCACGACGTTTCGATCGCAGCAGAAGCGGCCGTAACTTTACCGACAGAACCAAAGAGTGTGGATACCTACAGTCACGAAAGCTTCATGAATTACTAATTATTAATTATTAACACTAATTATTAACACCCACAGCCACCACAACAATACTCTCCGCTTCTTGCCTGGTGTGAAGTGGTATCACAGATGTGCAAAGCATTCTGGGTATTTCCAAGATGGCAGTGAACAGTGTGTCACACAGAATCAGAAGCGTATTATTTATACTGGAGGAATCCGATGAGCTATAAAGCTCTTTTTCACAAATGTTCGGTAGGAGCGGGTAATATCATTCCAACAACAAACAATACAAAAACGTGATGGTAGTGAAAAGTACAGGAAAGGTAAACACATCACCTAAACGCAAACAAATACAACACTAAACCATCCCCATTCCTACCACGCAAAGCCCACTGAGGTATGAACTTATCTTTTCAGAAGCGACCCGGCCACAAATAATAGCTCAACAAAGTGGCCCATTGTTTGGACATTTCTAGCAACCAAATACTCTAAACAATCTCAATGCGCGCTCTGGGAAGGGGGACAGTGTTCCATTGCGAAGTTTTTTTGCAGGAAGAAAAATTCTAAATAAAATAACTGCAATTTCTGTGTTCAACTGCATAATTTTGCGACACGTCTCTCATGCTCCGGAGACCTTTTTTGCTTAAAAAGGTCAAACAAAAAAACAGAAGTGAGTTGGTAGAAAGTGACGACGATGTGAAAGCTCATAAATTGTGCATATACATGTCATGAAGAATGCCGTGCCTCGAACATTGAGGTGTTACATCACCGATGGGACAAATTCATGGGTGTTACACTAGAATGCCTTGACAAACACTTTAAGTTTGATTCACTCCGCTTTAATAATCACATTTTCTGCAACTAAAAGTGCCAGTTAACCACCACCCTTGTCATATTTAGTGAAAGTTCCACGCCCGCGCGCTTAGTCACAAAGCCGTACTCCCTTGACCACTGGTTGCCACGTGAATGTTGGACCAACGTGAGCTTAGAAAACCCTCAGGAAATGCTCCAAGGTCAAACACAGCCACGTGCTTATCTCCGAACGGAAAATGTGTGGGGCAGTGGCAGTGCTAGGCAAGAGTAAACTCAAAGACAAAGTGAAGGGCCCAATGAAGCTCCAAGAGGCGCTGGAGTTGTGGAAAACAAAATTAGCGTCGCGCCAAATACTGTTCCAGCTGGAACTCGAATCCTACAAATCTAAAAGGGCACATTTTTCTAATGAGAATATAAATATTTGTTTTACTGTTATCAGTCCATTGACTTGCTTATTTCACATAAATGTGATGTAAGAAAATTGTGAAATTCATCCAGAATAAAATGTTGTCGTCAGCAGGGGCGGAGCCAGGATTTCAGGCCGGGGTGACATTCAACAAATTTTAATTTCAAGAATGATTAGAGAGTCGTCGGGCTGTTGAACTAGACGCCATCGGTTGGCGACACACTCTGACAATGCAGTTGCACGGAGTCCACCAGACCGAGTGTCGTACACTTATATGCAGAATGTCACCCCTGTCACCCCCCCCTGGCTCCGCCCCTGGTCGTCAGATGTCAAATCCCCAAAAAAAGCAAATTTCCACCGCTGGTATTGGGCGGTGGTGAAATCAATAAATAAATGTCATGAACACGTCCACACACTTAGTCACATTTAAACTCTGACTTCTGCTGGAAGATAGCAAGCGTGATATTTGTCTGTGTCTCAGCGTTAAGTGTATACACAACATACAGGAAAACTAACATTTTGCTGGAAAATACATTTATTTTCCTCTTACATGCTTGATGTAATGGTTGTCCAGTCCAATGCCTGAGGCTCTTCGGGTATAATTGTGGTTTCAAATAAATCTAAGCAATTTTTATTTTACTCAGGAATTCAAATACGCGCACACCCATGTAGACACAATTGGTAGACCCGGGTGTCCACACAGTGATCGCTCGTCATGCAGAAATGCAACGTGAAGAAGCTTGCTCACAGCAGCAGTGGCATGAACACTGACTACTGGCAACACGGATCACTGTTGTATTTGTATGGGTGCGTGCGTAATTTGAATTCCTGAGTAAAATGAAAATGCTGTGATTTATTTCAAATCACAATTACATCCGACCAGCCTCAGGGATTAAGACTGGGCAACTGTAATATCTCAAGCATTTGAAAGGAAAATAAACACATTTTCCACTTTTGCTGTATAAACCTAACGCTGATATCCTGTAAGACGTGGACAAATACCAACAGACGTCAGACTTTAATTGTTAATTATAAATCAAGGTGCGCAATGGTGGATCTTTATACTTCAATGCCATCATCCACAGATGTTCTTATTATTAACATTTAGCACATTATACAACCACCTGTACTAAATGTTAACATTCTGTGGATCGTGGCATCGGTTCAACAGACAAGCGTTTACCAACGCACAAAACCTTTTTTTGGAGTATAAAAATTGCCTGCAAGCATTGGATGGGCCCTCGTCCTCGCTGGCAGTCTCGAGGCAGTGGAATAAAGGCGGAAAGATAAATATAACTTATTAAAATTAAGTGCTGAGCGAATTCTAAATAGTCGATTGACTCGCTGCAGCTGTCTAGCCTCGCAGCAGCGGCTTCTGGCTGACCATCGAACAAGGAAGGTCACTGCGTCGCACGCTTGCAGGTGCGCTTCTGCGGCCGTCTGGAATGCTCTTCCGATATTAGGAAGCCACTGGAGCTCTATGTATTTAAAAAAATCGAGATTGAAAACTAATTTCTTTCGAACTGCTCTTTTGTGTTTAATTTGTCGTCTGTCCTTCACCCATACCTCCAATTAGCATGTTTGGCTACGTTCAGCGTGAAAGAATTTCAACATACTCACGTCATATGTCATCGGTGGCTCTCTGGATTTGTGTCCTATCATCTCGGTTATTCCGGCTCACCGTTTTGACACCCTGAGCCACCCCGGTCATCTCACACTAATTATTTTAGAAATATTTCGACTGTGCCACGTCTATTAATCAATCACCAATCGATCAAACTTTATTTCTTTAAACGTGCCTTTCTTAAAACCAAGGCCACTGTGCGTAAATTATTATTAAAACTTTGAAACCATCCAATTATAATCATTATAATAAGGTTAATTGACAACCATACCATAAACATAGTAAACCACAGGGCCAAATCGTGAACCACTGTTGTCTGCAATGGAGGAGTAATAGCAACACCTGCACCAACTCTCTCCTGAAGCCTTCTTGTGGCTAGCAGACCTCGACATCGGTATTTATCTACAACCGTACAATTTGCGGCAGGAATGTGTTTTTTGCCCGTAGAAGCCAGGCTAAACAGGTAAGGTTTTCAGTTTTTTGGGGATAGTCAGGTAGTTCCCTTTTCTGGTGAGGTATGGAATTCCGCAGGGTAGAGGCCATGTAAACAAAGGAGCAGGCCCCAGATGTGTTTGTGGTCACCCCTTCGGGATATTTATCAATTCCTCATTGGTATACTGGATCAATATTGTTACATGTGGATCAAATTTACAGGCATATGATACCCGAACATGATCGTTTCTGCTCGTCAACGCTGTCACTAAAAGCCCTGTAGGAAAGCTATTTACATCAATTTGGGAGCCCATTGAGACTACAAGTCTTGCTTAGAAAGGCAAAGGCAGATGCAGGAAAAAAATCATATCAATGGTAAAATAAATAAACCCCTACTTAAAGGATAACAGTTAAACATCTGCATGGATAGTGGCTCTCACTTAAATGCCTTGGTATCTCGGAGTGGCTTTGCATCGCATCTCATCTCAGCCATTATATTGGCCCGTGGCAAGTCTAGCCAAGGGGACCCTGAGTGGCAGCTGTCCCCACGTGGGTCAAGGTGTACACAAGCACCAGCCTATGAATTGGTATATGATGCAAGTAGGGCGCCGATTTAGCGTCAGATTTTCACTTGAACGTTTTGAACAGTTGGAAACGTAACCGCAAAATTATAAAGTATGCAAGGCCCAAATTGGTTCTTGGTTCGAGGCGATCGTCAAAAGCATTTTCAATTCAGATTGGCCAAGCGTGAATTAGGCGGCACATTTTAACTGACACAAATTGTAGGTGCCAATTCATAAAGAGCACGGCGCAAACTAACCTAAATTATACAAAGGCAAGGCACGGACACTTTGAAAACAATGCCATTAAACTACTTTAAAACGCCGCTAATATTTAAAGCGAAATTGTTTTTTTTTTTGGGGGGGGGGATTTTCGAAATATTATTGCGTCTGACGATGGCGCGTGACCTGTGAGCTGTGTCCGCGTGGGGGTCGGTGTGACCCGCGATTCGGGCCAGGGAATAAAAATCACCGCGCACACTGTGTGCCGATGGCGATGGGAGCCTGGCGATGTGGGGCGGGGGGGGGGGGCGGGGGGGGGGGGGCCGGTGCCACGTCGTTTGCGCGCAAAAAAAGTGAAAAAGCTCGCAGCGCGCAAAAAAATTTCACTTTTTGGTTTCACGTCAAATCTGTTTAATGTCGCTTTTGCTACCCCCCACCCCCGGTCCCCCACTTCGCCTTTTATTGTTTTTACTCTGACGTGATCCACCAAAGCGTTTTGCTGTTAAATTATCGAATAACCGCGGAGTGTTGTAACCGTTGTAAACAGGCTTCAAAAGCACACGCCACAAAGTGACGTGAATGAAAGTGGCTTGTTAAAAAAAAAAGAGTCTGCTAGTCCTCTCACTTGTTGCTTTATGCTTTTCAC